GCCGACAAATCTGCGGCAACTGTGTGATGCCATCATGTCAATATGGACCAAAATCTCTGAGGAATGCTTACAGCACCTTGTTGAATCTATGCCACGAAGAATTGAGGCAGTTCTGAAGGCAAAAGGGGGTCCAACCCGTTACTAGYGTGGTGTACCTAATAAAGTGGCCGGTGAGTGTACATTGTTATGTTTGGATGACAATTCGATATTTCTCGATATCACAATGTCTGTCACGATACGATTTCGATTAAATTCAATTCACGTGTCTGCGATCGATATAATGCGATATCGTATGCCCATCTAACACAATGACTGTGTTAGATGGGCATACGATATTGATTCCCATCGAGCATATGATGACGATATAGATCGATATTTTCATTTTGCCTCGATATAACTGAATCATGAACCATTTAAATCGATATATCGATATAGATCGATGTATTGTTACACCCCTAATTACTAAGGTGCAGGACTGCTTTTTCCCCCTTTTTTTCACATCTTATCGCCTGCCTGGATCTGTTATTATCTCTCTCTGAAGCACGGAAAAGTGTCACACGTGAGCTCGTTTTAACTGCGTTTTACAACGTGGTCTCATTTCCAGACTCAGGCATTTTGCCGATATTTCAGTTAAAATACATAAGTAAAAATATTTATCCGAGTGTAATACTACCCTCCAACATTATGGATGATTTTATGGATTAAATGGATGATTTTTTATGGATTAAATTTAACGTATTATACTTGAATAAATATGGTAAGTACTGTAACAAAGTAATGTACTCAGTTACTATGAACCTCTGCAAATGACACTTAATCTCCAGGTAAAACAAAAAAACTCTCTGGATACGCAGTTTGAAAATGACTGAAAGAGCTATATTTTAAACAATATGATTACGTTTTAAAAAAAATAGGGATGCACCAAAATCAAATGAAACAGAAGTTATGATTTGGACCTGAGGCAGGATCTCTCGGGCCAAAGTTAGCGCCTCTCTGTAGGCAGCATCTCCAGTCTGGTTCTGTTCCACGGCTCTGTTTATGAGTCCCATCTCCAGAGCTGTCTGTCCTCCAACACGCCTTCCTGAGAACAGACACACACCCAGGGTTGGAGGACAGGATCCTCTTAACATCTGGCCTGATTTTGTCACGTCTGTCTTTCACCACCTGTGAATATGAGCTCCTTGGCCAGAGTGATGCCAACCATCCGTGGCAGCCGCTGACTGCCCCCTGCAGGACAAATCACTTCAAGGTCAGTGTCTCTCAGCTTCTCTGTCTCTGGGCTAAGAAAGGATCAGTGTTTTATGACCTCTGTTTGTCTTACCCGCCCCTGGGAGCAGCCCCCGTGTCGTCTCAATCAGACCCATCTGTGTGGAAAATGCTGAAACACAAAGAGGTGACAGCTGAAGGTCTGCGCTGCTGACAGCTAGCAAGCTGGCAAAGGAGCAAAAGTCTGACTGATGCTTGTGTCAAAGCAGTGAACACAAACACCTGCTCAGCTAGCTCATCTGTAATTAACCAATCACTGGACTGACACAACTAAAACATTGATGAATCACCACAAACAGCTGGGGGAATGGCTATTATAAAACCAACAGCCCAAATGACCTTTTCCCAGTTTTTAATGTTCAAGGTCAGTATTTCACAATGCATTGTGGTCTAGATATATTCATGCCCATCTCTGGTTCATTGACATACAGTTGGTCTAAACCAGGGGTTCTTCACCTTTTTGACCTCGGGGCCCAGTTTGTTGAACATAAAGTGACACGAGGTCCAGTCAGACATTACCAATGTATGGATGAAAATGATAATTTTATTATAAATCTTGGTTTAATTTTTATTGTTTTTATTTCATAA